GGGTGACAGGGCAGGCAATATACAACAAGAGGGAGGTTAGCAGAGGAAAGATGAAAGTAGCAGGAGATACAGGGAGGAATGCAAGAGTTAAAGTGAATCCAGGTAAATGTAGTTAACTGTTGGTACATGGAGGGGATTGCAATTATTGTAATGAAGCAAAGTATATGATTTGTTGAATGTAAAACTGATGATCTGCTCTGTAAACCTCAATTCACAACAAAATTTTTTTTGTGAGTACCTGCTCTGTGTACTCAATTCACAACAAAAATTTTTAAAAAAATAAGTAAAGAAAGAAATGAATGAATGAATCTTGCTACTAACAGGTTTTATGAAGTTCTCTTTCCCTGGAATGGCCTAGCACAGACCTTTGAACCTCCAATAACATGTCAGTGGATGGCTGTTTGCAGTGGGGACTGTCCTGTGCAGTGTAGGCTGTTTAGCAGCATCCTTGGCATCTCCAAGTGTGACAACCAAAAACGCTTCCTGGGGGACAAAACGGTCCCTAGTTGAGAACCTATAGAGATTCCTTTGCTTTTTGTTTACACGGATGGATGAAATTTAAACAACAAAACAAAGCACACACACAAAATCCTGACATCCATATTTCTTTATCCAGAAAGATACATTTCTGTTTTCTTTTTCCTGGAAGCTCAGAAGCACATCTGAGTTTCTGGGCGAGAGCAGTGTGGCACAGTGATAGGGAATCAACAGGGACACTGTTTCCTCTGGTCACTTCTCATCAGTCACCGTTCTGAATCAGGGCGGAGGAAGCCTGGACTTAACCACTGGCCAAACCCCAAGGCCTCTGAGGTCGATTTGCCAGGCTTGGCTTTCAGAGAGCCTCCAGGTTGGGCTAGTCGTGTAGACTTGGTGTCTGGAGACGTTCTAGCCCCGCTAAAACTTGCAATTTAGTTTTGCGGGTATGGACTTCCTGCCTGTGCTTTATGCAGGCAGGCTACAACATATCATATGGCGTTCCTCATTCCTGGGCTGGATTCTTCACCTTGAAATCTTGGCAGAGCATCAAAGAGTTGGATGGAAATCTTGGCAGAAGTAAGAGTCCACACAGCCACCCGATAACAGATACAACCTGCTCAGATTGTGGCTTCGCCCCCCTTTGCTGCTTCTGTGGTAGGAACAAAGGTTGTGTGTGACTGGGGTTAGGACTTTGGTGGGTTTGATATTGAAAATGGTGGAAGTACTCTCTCTGCTGGAGTGATCACATTAATTTTTGGGTTTCTGTTTTTGGCAATACAGAACTGTCCTATGGAGTCCTCCTATGTTGATGAGAACAAAACTGGAGGCTAAGAGGCTCTTGGGGGCTATAGCTTAGGCCCTTGTTTGAGGTGGAAATGGCAGTGCTACAAAATGAGACCAAGAAGAGGGCTGCACGGGGCTATCTGCTGATCCCAAGTCCCCAAAGTGTCCTTCTGAATCCCCGTTTAACAGCGGCACCAGGACCATTAGGCAGAGGGCACCCAGTGGAAAATTCCTAGCTCTGGTCATTTTAATGAGAGGGGCATATTTGCCTGTGTGGCTTGAGGTTTCTGGGGAGATGTGGATAAAGAAAAAGACAGTGTCTCAATCCCCTCTTCAACCTGGATGGCAATGCATGCGAAAGGAGCTGGCTGGAGAAGCGTGGTCCAGGCAGCCCTGGTCTCCATGCATAAGCATCAAACAGCTCAGAGCAGACTCAATCCACCAGCACTCCACACAGAATGCTGACATAGCCAACTTACAAAGAGGAATACATACAGCTCATAAAGCTGTATGCCTCAGAGATTTTTTTTTTTAAAGTAACTCTGATTTACAACTGTTAGGTTAATGGCAACAAATCCATTTTCTCCGATAGCATTCATGTCTGGAAGAAAAGAACAAAGCTGAGTTCACTCACTCAGTCACTCAACAACAGTTTAGTGAGCAGATGCTATGGGCTGACCAGGCCCTGGCTGCTGAGGTGAGAAAGGGGGTGGAACTCAGGGGCTAGCAGTAGACTCCGGACAGCGGGTGGGGGAGCAGGGTGCCCAGCAAAACCCCTAAAGAAGAAGTCATGTCTGAGCTGTATGCTGAAGGGAAGTGAACAGGTGTTTCCACTGGCTGGTGCAGAGGTGGGGGCCAGAGGGCAGAGGAGGCAGGGGACCATGCTTAGCAAGGGGTTGGACTTCCTCCCAGTCAGGGAGGGGTTATAAGCAGAGAATACAAGGTCAGATTTCATTTGAAAAGGAAATGCCGGTGGCTGGGAGGAGGATGTTAATTATTTACAATGGGTAGAAGAGAAATATATTTGGAAACTGCCTGCCTTCTGAATTGGTTGTTTCTTGAATTCTCGGTCTCTGGCTAAGATAGTCAAGGCAAACACAACCACCAAGGCAGCCTGAGAACCTCTCTCGTCTCCCTGCTGATGGGTTCAAAGTGCAGCAGTCTGGATTTCTGGAGTTCAATGCTGGTAGGGCTAGAAGTCACAAGGGAGTCCTGCAGGGTGATCCCTCCCAAAGATTTTATTGCTGGCTACCAATGAGTCGATTCTGACTCAGGAAGACCTCATGCACTGCAGAATAGAATTGTTTCACAGGTTCCCTTGACTGTCATCTTTTAGGGACGCAGTTTGCCAGACCTTTCTTCTGCAGAGCCATTGGGTGGGTTTGAACCACCAGCCTTTAGGTTAGCACTTGCCCCACCCAGGAGCCTTTTAACTGCCAGGGTTAGGGAGCAAGAGTTCTACGTGTGCTGTTGATTGGCAGACCCTCTGGGATGCAGTACTGTTGCAACAGTGAGTGGGCAGAGCACTAAGTAACACTTAGGGAGTCCTGGTGTGGCGCTGGGCTGCTAACCACAAGGTTAGAGGTTCAACCCCACCTGCCACTCCTCAGAGACCCTTTACATTGTCACTATGAGTGGGAACTGACTCGATGGCATGTAACAACAAAGAGTCTAGGACAGGCTGTGAGGACGAAAGCCAAATCCTGAGTTGGGATGAACAACAGGAATCCTGGTGATGTAGCTGGTTACGCATTGAGCTGTGAACTGGACCAACCAGAAGAAAGAAATGGCAGTCTATTTCCAAAAGACTTACAGCCTCGGCAACCCCACGAGGCAGCTCTGCTCTGTCCTATGAGTCGGAAAGGACTCAATGGCCGTGGGTTTGGTTCGGCTTTGGTTGGATGAAGACTGACAGCTTCCTATTTCGTCGATTCTCTGCACAAGTGTGTATCCCCAACTGCACACCCAGCAAGAGCAGACATTGTATTTGCATTCTATCTTTGAGGTCTAACGTGAAAAGTGTTGGGCCATTTCAACGCTGAAACGTTGACGCCTCTTCTCAGCACAAAGCCTTTCTTTCAAAACAGCAAGTGCCTTTAATGGGCGTTCCCCTTTTTCCTTCTAGGTGAGGATACTTTTAAGAACACATCTTTCTCTAGGGTTCCTCCCTTACCAGAAGACGTCGTTGGCCTTACTTTTACCTTTTAATAGCGCTCATGGTGCAAGTCATTACTTATAACCCATTAGTATTTTATTAGTAACTGCTGACGGAACTTGGGCAACCTGCTTGGAAATAACGTTCCAGCCCAGCAAATGACAACAGATGCAGGGCTATTTTTGTTGTTTAGCAACATGCAGCCAATCACAGTATGTTTGGAATCAGGGCCCCAGACTTGTCCTTGAGCCATAACACATGGACCTTGAAACTCTTTTCTCAGATTCATTAAGTCTGATTTTAGGAGTAATAAAAGAACCCTTAAAAAATGAATTCTGCCATCACACAAACTAACCAGGCTCCAGTGTGGTTCAGAGGTTTTTGTAATTCCACATTTTGGAATCTGTCTGGATATAAAAGTCTGACTTGATCTTAGTAAATGTTCGGCTCCTTAATGGCAGGCGTATGTGGGCTGCAGCTGTCGTTTCTGAAAGGCCCAGGGAGAGGCTGATGTGAAACACTCTTGGCGTCACCCACACCGGCCCACAGATGAGCTCTGAACGTCATCAGCTGACACCACACTCTTCAGCCAGCCACATCCGTAGCTTTGAAGAAAAACAAAATGAAATGCTTTCTGCGTAACTGTGAGCCTGCTGATGGGATGGATTAGCTATGACTGCCTTGTCCTGCCCCTTGTGTCCCTCTAAGGAGATACTTCTGTGGCGTCATATCCAGTCCACTGACAGTTACACCGGGAGTTTTAATGACGTGCAGATAAATGCGTGATGCTGTTTCCCCATCGCTCCTGTGGCTCCTTGGGCCTCAGGGTTGCTGTGCTACCTGTTGTCCTGCCCTCTTGGGAGAACCTTCCAGAAAAGCCTTGTTACCAGACAACTCTGAACTCAATTCAGCTCTTCCTCTCGGGATGTGTAAGTGTGGTACTGCCTAGTACTCGGGCTGTTCCCTTTTAATTCAGTAGAAAGTCTTGGGATAGATCAGGAGTCCCAATAAGCAATGCCTGACTCATTTCCCTGTGCTTTTGTGTCCCTGAGAGCCACCACTAGAAGGCGACTTGTCATTTCCATGGACATCTGAGGAATGGTTTCTTCATGCTTCACAGAACACATTCATGCATCTTTCCCCGGGTCATCAAGTGACCAAGGAAATCACAGGTGAGGAGCTGCTCCTCCAATCAACATTTCCTGAGTACTGACTACATATCATGTATAAGTTATATAACATCTTTCATTCTAAAAATATCAATATAAATCTTTAATTCCACTTTTGCATGGGATTTTTGAAGCCCCCTTGTACACGTAAGCAAAAGAGACACAGAGCCCGCCCCCTCACCCCAAGTACTTCTTCTAATCTAGCAGGGCTGACAAACCGTAAAGAAATACTCACAAAGATATACATGTAGTTACAAGTCAGAAACGCACAGGGAGAAACTGTGAGAAGGAAACAAATGTCAGATTATGGGATCAGGAAAGATGCTCTGGAAGAAAGGACAATGACATCGAGACCTACCTAAGGGACAAGGTTCCTGGCAGATGTGACCCTAGATATCACCCCAACTGCTGCTTACCTCAGACTCCTTGTAGTAACGTTCTGGAATTTCATCGCAGGCAATGTCGATAAAGCAAACTTCTCTCTCTGTGTCTTTGGCTTCATTGTCAAAAATCTGCAAAGAGCAGAATAACATTTTAAAAGTTAATGATACCAGGCAATACTCTCCAAGGAGCCCCTGGGTTGGTGCGGATGTGCCCGAGGCAGAATAACGTCCCACCGAGCAAGTGTCTCCACAGCGCTCAGCGCCCCTGGCTAGTGTGCTCTGCCTGCCTCAGAAGGTGCAGGAATGACAAAAGACCTTTCCTCATCACTTTAGTTTGTCACATCAGAGGCAGGTTGGTGAGGGGTAGAAGAAAAAGTGGGTTGTTGTTAGAAATCCCAGAATGGGGAAATAGATCTCTTCCAAAAATCTCTTCTCAAGATGAAGTCGGATGATTTTTGGCAGTTCATCTGAAAGGGGAAGAAGGAGAAGAGGAAGCCGGAAGGAGTCTGGAAAGAGATGAGACCAAAAGCAGAAAGAAGCACACTGTTTTGTTATTATACTAACTACACATATCTTTTAATTTCACCAACGATGCTCACTGCAGATAAAAAGAAAATAAAACTGTCCACAATCCCACTTTTTGTCGTTATTGTTAAGTGCCATCGAGTTGGTTCTGACTCTTAATGACCCTGTATGGGGTTTTTGAGGAGAGGCTGGTGAGTTTGAACTTCTGACCTTGCAGTTCAAACAGACCTTCCCGGTCCAATGAGTATCGCCTACAGTGTTACATCACTGAGTCAGTTTCATGTAGATTGTTGAATTACAGTAGGATCTGAGATTACTTGAAGCCCCAATTTACTGTTTATCAGCAGTTCAGCGATCTCATAACAGACCATCATCTGCACCATGCAAGTCAGGTCACACCTGAATTCCTGAGACTCAGAAACCACCTCATATTAAAAAATGGATGGTTATCAGCTGTTAAGCCTAGATAAATTTGTTTTTCAGAGATAGATAATTAATTTATACATCCATAGCAAGAAAGATCAGGAGCGCACAGAACATACAGCAGATAGAGAAATGAACAGAAATGTAGATGCTGATTTAGAAGTGTTTTCAGGAGTGGTCAATCAGAAAAAAAGCAACTCCTGTCACACATAACCTATTGCTTCTTGAGTCCATTCAAGCTCATAGTGACCTTATAGGACACAGTACAGTTGCCTCGTAGGGTGTCCAAGGCTGTCATCTTTACAGCAGCACAGGGTTCCTCTGTCTCCCATAGAGCAGCTTGTAGACTAGACCACAGAACCTCTGGATGAATGTGTATTTTGCTTGACTATAACAGCTTGAAGGAGCTCTGGTAGCATAGTGATTACAAATTGTGCTGCTAACCTCAAGGTTGGCAGTTCGAAACTACCAACCGTTCCACAGGAGAAAAATAAGGCTTTCTGCTCCCGTAAAGATTTACAGCCTCGGAAACCCTGTGCAGGGTCAGTATGAGTTAGAACCAACTCCACGGTACTTAACAACAACAATATAATAGCTTGATTTCCTTGGTACACGTAAGGATAATAAGATATATAGCCAGGTAAAACACTGTTAACGTTTTTTGCCAATCGATTCTAAATTCTATGGCTCTGATGACACTGTCTCAATTCAGATCTGGTGCCGATTAATGATGCATTCTCCTGTACTTTTTATCTGCCACTTTCCCTGGTTTGGTCCTTAACTTGAAACTTTTAGTATGTTCCTGAGTGGTATTTGTGCTGGTAATTTATCTTCCAAGTTCGCTATTTGCTCTATGTCCAATGGTCTTCTAAAATGTTTGGAGACCGGCTTCTTCAGATTGGTCCAAGGAGATTTACTTCCCAGTCTGACCTTCAGTGTCTACTTTCCATAACGGCAGACAAAGATGAATTCTTGGACGAGCTCCAATTCCTTCCACTGCCACTTGAATCAAATGCTTTGGGCGCACTCCTAAAGTGTTTGGGAGGGATGCGGTGGATTGCTTTGAAATGAAATAGAGAGGAGGAGGTAGAATATACGTAAGTGGAGAAATAAATTGTGCAATGGAATAGTGGGTTTTACATCGTTCGTGTGAGTCTCTGTTAAGTAAGTGTGCCTCAAGAGAAAAAAGATGTAGGCCTCATTAAGTTAACAAAACAAAGACAAACGACCTTCTATAGAATAAATTCTCAAAGAAGTTAGAAAGGTTTGATATTTATGAATGGCCACATTTATGGGATTAAAAGAAAGGGAAATAGACTGTTGAAATGGCAAATATTTTCACAATTTTAAAAATGTGTAAAAAATAAGAGGAAGAAAGGGAACGAAGCAGGGGTTTAGCACTTGACTACTAGTTGAAAGGCTGACAGTTCTAACCCACAGCCATTCATTCCAGAGGAGAAAGGTGTCATCAGTCTGCTTTGATTAAAGCTTACAGCCTTGGGAGCCCTACAGGGCAGTTCTACTCTGGCCTCGAGGGTCACTCTGAGTTGGAATCAACTTGACGGCAATGGTTCTGGCTTTTATTGAGAGAGCGTGTGGGCTTTTCCTAATTTAGTTGAGATCTTTTTGATCACTCATTGTGCCAAGTGTCAAATCATTACCTCTCAGCTCTGAATTCGCCTTCTAGCTCTCATGGACACAAACCTGTAAGCATTTCTCCTTCCCAGCAAATATGATGGCAAGCCTTGTCGATAAACAATGCTGGAGAAACTGTGCAGGAAGAAGGGGGATGCTCTTCCTGGTTCTGATGTGTGGCACTTTGCTTTTTCTTGCTCTTACTGCTGGGCCTATCAAAGGGGCAATCAGCGGTGTTTTGCCCCAGTAGAATGCCCAGAGCAGTCCCATCAACGCCCTGGCCTGGACCCGATAACCACTTCACCATGGCCCTCCTCATGCAGGACCGTGCCCTTCAGGCCTTGCACTGACTTTTCTGCACACCTGCCCGGTAGCCTCATCTCGCCTGCACCCAGAGGGCTATTTTCTGCTGTGGTTTAGCAGGTAACCCCCCAAACTTCCCTACTTTCCTGTAGGCTACAACCTTGACACCTTCTCCAATGAAGTCTACATCCCAGACACAGTGAGGGTCTCCCTTCCAGTTTTTACTTCTGGGGTACTCTCCCTTAGTTTGAGGGTATCCTTTGCAGTTTTCTTTACATCTCTCTAGTTATTCTACTTTCATGGTTCAATAAATCTATTAAACTTCCCTGTTCAAATGATTGCAGGGTTCTTGTCTTCTCACTGAACCTTGAATGATAGTCCCAGTTTGGGTAAAGTGCTGACTTAGGTTTTGGGGGCTACAAAGGCAGGAGGGCCCAGTTCCTGCCCTCAAGAAGTTCATCATCTAATGGGAAAGGCAGACTTGGAAACTGTTACGAAAAAGACAAGGCAGGATAAAGCCTGTCCTACAACAGAAAGTGTAGACAAGAAACATGTTCATGTCTGAGTGGAGAAATAAATTGGGAAGTGAAATGCTGAGCCACGGGTAGCTTGCACCAAGAGAAGAAGGGCAAAAGCCTCATTGTGGAAACAAAACAGAGGCAAGCCATGAATGCTGACTCTGGAGATTGGGGTGCCTTGTGGAGGTAGTAGCATTTGATATAGAACCCCCAAAGTAAGAAGAGGCTGGGGGAAAGAGAAAGCTGGGGAAATGGCCATCCCAGAAGGAAGGAATAGTGTGAACACACTCAGAGAGAGCTGAACATACAGAATAAAGAGAGTCCTAGGGTGGTGCTGTAGGATAAGCACCAGACTGCCAACCAGAAGGTTGGCAGTTCAAGCCTACCAGTTGTTTTTCAGAAACCCTATAGAGGTTAGCTATCATTTGGAACCAACTAGATAGCACTTAACATCATGACACACAGAATAAATTTTCAAATAGGCAGTATTGTAATGAGTAGTTTTGTTGGCTGAAAGCAGCAAATACCAGAAAGATGTTTACTTGTGCTTTATTGACTATGCAAAGGCTTTCAACGGTGTGGATCATGACAAGCTATAGACAACACTGTGAAGAATGGGTATTCCAGGGCACTGTGCTCACGAGGAGTCTGGACATAGACCAAGAGGCAGTTGTTAGAACAGAACAGGGGGATACTGATGACATGCTCTTCTTTTATGTGAGAAGCTGAATTATATAAAGAAGAGAATGGCATCAGGATTAGCAGACTCATTAACAACCTGTGGTATGTGGATGATACAACCTTGGATGCTGGAAGCAAAGAGGAATTAAATTTTTTATTAATGAAGATCGTAGACCACAGACTTCAGTATGGATTGGACCTCAATGTAAAGGAAACAAGAATCCTCACCACTGTACTAATAAAAAACATCGTGATAAATGGAGAAAAGATTGAAGTTGTCAAAGACTTCATTTTGCTCGGATCCATGATCAACACTCATGGAAGCAGCAGTCAAGAAATCAAACAATGTATTGCATTAGGTAAATCTGCTATACAAGACCTCTTTAAAGTGTTCAAGAGCAAAGATGTCCGTTTGAAGACTGACGTGCGCCTGACCCAAATCATAGTATTTCCAATAGTCTCAGGTGTGTTGAAAGTTGTACAATGAATAAAGAAAACCATAAAATAATTGATGCACTTAAATTATGGTGTTGGAAATTTTTTTTTTTTTTTTTTAAGTACCATAGACTGCCACAAGAACAAACAAATTTGTTTTGGAAGAAACACAGTCAGGATGCTACTTAGAGGCAAGGATGGCGAGACTTTGTTTCTCATACTTCAGATATGTTTTCAGGAGGGACCAATCCCTGAAGAAGAACACCATACTTGGTATCAGTGAAAAAGAGGAAGACCCCAACGAGATGGATTGACACAGTGGAAGAAACAATGGGTTCACATGTTATAACAATTGTGAGGCTGGCACAGGACCAGATAGTGTTTCGTTCTGTTGTGCAGAGGATAGCTGTGAGTCAGAACTGACTCCACAGCACCTGCCAACACCACCAGAATGAGCATTGTCTAGGCGCCATGCACTATGATATACTTTATAAAATATGCTATCATAATTAATCCTCGCAACAATCTTAGGAGGATAGTGTATTATTCCCAGTTTTCAGACGACAAAACGTAGTCTCAAATTAGTAAGGAGACTTGTCGGAGGTTACA